ATTTGGTGCATATCAATTTATTATTTACCTGATGCAGACTGCTAATCTTTCGATGAGAGTTATAGGCTTTTGAAATCATGTAATTTTTTGGTTAGGTCTGGTTTTACTTTTTCAAGTAAAAAAGTAAAGCATTCTTTAGACATTCTAAAATAACCATAAAACTTGCTCTCATCATCTATTAATTCTTTGTAAAGTAAAGCAAATTCTCTTTCTGCTTCTCGCTTTCTCCAGGTTGGATGTACACCCCATCTTCTTTTAATAGTTTAGCTTCGTTTTTCCAATACATCATCATCGATGGCAATTGCAATAGCTGTCAATTCAAATTGTGAAAATTGCATATTTACGTAAGCGTGAAGTCTATCGACAGATGAAATCACTAGCTGATAAAAACCACATAACACAGAGTCGTGCATAAGCCACGGTCGTGCAAACAGCCCGGTGTAACATGAAGCTTCGGCATGCCGTGGGCGGTGATTGGCCGGTCCACCATTGTCTACACGGACAGTTTCCTTTACCTTAGCGGGTTTTTGAATGCTCACAACCTTCTTCAAGAGTTGGAAAGAAAGGGGACCATTGACATGAAAAACAAATTGCTCGCAAGGTGGTTTAGATAAATTAAAGACGTAAAAAATTAATTAGCTAAGAACTGCGAAATACTTACCCAGCTCGCACCTTCCGCCCTCCCTCAATCACGTGCACTGTCCGCGTCACCACTAAAATCCTAACAATACTACTCTTAATCCCAATACACTAGGAAAGACACATCACCGTCGACAATACGATGTGTTACCCCTCTACTTTTTTTTACTAGAATAAGGACGACAAATGAACACACAGTCCCTTTGATGGTAAGTGGATTCTGTAACCCATAGACATCTACTTCTATCCTCGATTAAGAATCAATATTTAGATGCGTTGTCACCCCTGAGGACTAAGATGAAATGCCTCTTTATCAGTAAAAAGGTTCTTCGATTCTTTACACTCTACCTACGAAATACAGCAGTATTTAGCTTCTATTTTACGCCAGTATTCAGCGAGAACGTAAATTAAAGTACTTCGATTATTCAAAATGTTGTTAATGATAAATAATACCTACGCGTGAAGATATATTATGATTGATGAATAAAGAATGAATTATAACATCGACGTAGAAAAACATGAAATATTAAACATTATATTTAGTAAGTCATAAGTAGTCCTGCCTCCGAGAGATAACTTATTATAATTGTGCTATTTGCTGTGAACAGTATCGGTTCGTGGAGTCCACGTGCGGTAACAGTATCTGAATCTTCTCGTCGCGTCGCCGCTAATAATTAGAGCGCAAATTATATTTTTAATTTTAATTTTTTTATTATAGTTTTTAATATTGTGTATATTTCATTTTTATGTAAATGACCTTAATTTTAGTTAACATTAACACACACTTTCTATTATTCTTCTCTAATAAACTCATGTATTATTATTTCTATTAATAACTGTCTATTAAAGTCCACTTCTGAATATAGGCCTTCCCGTATCTTGTCCCATAAGCGGGATATATCCCATAGTTGCCACGCTTGTCTGCTTCACAATCGCAGTTTTTAATTTTCTGGAGACCCCGCTGCCCATCTCCTGGTTTGGTTTCCTCAATTGCTTTTACGGCACCACACGATCGAGTAATAATATCAAATATTATAAATAACTATGTATAAATGGTTAATATTTTACTTGGATTTGAATTTGACGGCATTAGAAAATGTATCAACCAATTCGTCCAATTTCATATGAGTCAACGTCGTCTTAACCATTGTTGCGAATTCAAAGTCAAAGAAATGTATTCTTATATTTACGCCGGCACATTAAATGAAACCAATTTTATGAATTCTATCACGTCTAACTTTAACTTTTTAAATTCCCGACGTTGCGGGTCGGTATAGCACCCACAGAGCCCCGTGACCATGCAATTAAATCTGTAAAATTGGTTTCATTCAAATGCCAACAGAATCAAAACCATCTAGTAGTAGGTGCCGTCCGAAGTTTTTTTCAGGATAGCTGGCGTCGATGACGAACAGTCTCATCAAGTACAGTGAACGATTAGAGGCACTGGAGCTGAAACGACCTCACCCTATTCTCAAACTTTATATACGAGTGAGAAATTTTCACCTGAAAATGCCTAATTTTAGGGTTCGGTAACTCAAGGAGTAAAACGGAATCCTATTAATGCCACTCTGTAATCTGTCTGTCTATCTGTCTGTCTGTCCGTCCGTATGACACGGATCTCAAGCTCTTGTGCGTAATGAGCTACAGGCGTAAAATTTATATATATGTTTGGTGTAGAATGCAGTAGTGCACTTTTAAAGACAGATCACAAAAATACTTCTTTGAATTCACCTAAGCTTTACTGGTTCGAAAAAAACCTTTGTATTGGAAAGAACCAGCAAAACCACAGCGGTACTTTTTTAATGTTGATAGTTTACTAGTATTGATAGATATTGTAATATTGTCTCAAAACCGAATATTGAATTACGCGCAAAAAAGAAGAATAAGATTGACTCTATCAATAAGAAACGGACCTAATGCCGAAAACCAGTATATTTTGTTGTGGAGTTATGTAGGATTCCAGTTGTACACAAACTTCCTTTTTGTGAAATAATTCCACACCAGGCACACTAATTGGCGTCGTTTCCCCACACATTTTGTACATTAAACGTAGATCTCTAACCCGTTAGAGCTTTTAATGGTAGACAACCGCCAACTATCGGAGACAACGACATTGCTTGCAATTTGTAGCATTTTATCTTAATTAATTTTATTCTTTATTTATTTATTTTTTTATTAAAAATATTAGTAATCTTATTAATTAATATTACTAATATTCCTTTTAACCACTCCTGGTAAGCTTGAAAGCTGTTAGGAGTGGTTCACGACAGTAGTCAAATGGCGGATACGAACCCACGAACTTTTGAGTTATCGATCCGCGCCCTGCCATTAGGCTACTGTCGCTTCAAATTAGATTTCCTCTTTTAAATTACAGATAATTAAAACGCAAATGTGGCTTCTTTTTCTTCATCATCAGTCCTTAAAATTCTACTAAGGGGTGTGGGGATTTAGGTCATGCTTGACAGACGATTTGAAGATCGCAGTACTAAACGCTTCACACCTTTAGTGTTACTCGCCGTCGACGGTCTGGGTGTTTTGCGCCTGGCGTAAAGTTATGTTTATACCACCATCAATAGGAAGCCATACAATCCCGATATTTCCTTAGTGTCCTCCGACGACACCCGCGGGACGGGATGGGAAAATAAAATTTCCCTTAGTCAACCGCTTTTAAACGTGAATGACAAGATGGAGGTGGTAGATTCCCCCCGCCGCAGAGCGATACGTAAAATATTACCGATATCGTTACAGTTACAGGCTATACAAGTGCACTATGAACATGGGCCTCCCCCATAGATTGCCACATAAAGAGGATATTAGCCATAGTTGCCACGCTTGGCGAGCGGGTTGGCAACCTAGTGGTATTATTTTTAGTAGTTATTAGGAAGATGCTGCAGCCCATCGCCTGATTTATTTCCCTCTGTCACCTTTTACGACACTCAAAAGGTGATAAGAGGTAGCGGATATTCTTACACCGCTACCACACGATAACATTGTTAACGTAAAACATTGTTACTTGTTAAAACAGAGCAGGTAAATTCGATATGTAACATGTAACAAGTAACTTAAATACAACCGTGATCAATTTAAACGTAGATTATGTAAACAAAGACTGATATGCGCTTGTCTGTTACCGCAGTTCAGTTTACGAATTATAAACAGATTTATTTTGTTATATATGCTTGATTGGAATCCTGTGATTCCTCATAATCCGTTACATCACCGCAGATATAATATAATTCTGTAATTATATTATATCTGCGGTGATGTAACGGATTATGAGTTAATTTTAAATGTATTTCTTTTTTCAATAAAAAAGTTATTAATTTACAATAATTAATCTGTTTCGTAAGTATAAAATTGACACGTGTCAAAATTTGCCAGTTTTGTTGTACAACATGGTAATTAAACACGTGAAGAAGCCCAAGTCTTTCAACCTTATTAAACAACCATCTTAATAATGTTCATAATATATCAAATTACTAATGAGGCATAATTCAAAGAGTGAACCTATATCCGAACAAAATTATTTTGTTTTATTTTATCATGAGTATATTATATCAATTGTGTCATTGCTCATGCCTGCAGGTGGTTCAGAAGGCCTACACTCTTTCTCCGAAACGAAACTTCGTTATCGAACGAAATTTAAACGAAGTTTCGTGTCTGACCCTACTCTATATATCATTTTCGGACGCGCACGCAAAGTTCGAGTCCATAGACAATTTTCGTGAACGAATGGAACGAACAATGTTATGTATTTTACGAATTTATTAAAATAATCGTGGTCTTTTATGCATATTATTCCAGAAAATCTTACTGAAGCAATAAATATACAAGTTTTCGAAGAAAATCACAGTGACACTAAAATAACCCTTTCAATGACCGTTAACCGACTAAGTTAAGGTGTACAATAATATCAAACGGTGTTTATAGTATCGTATAACAACCAAACTTATCCGTATTATCACAATGCTGTCAGTCATCACTTGAGGATTTTTTGTTTGCATTCTTTAAAAGTTTGAATAGTTTTATTATAAGTTTGTTTCTCAAGCTCAAGTGTAAGACGTAGGTAGAGATTATTTCCTGTGTGCTCAAGTGAAGAGTTATTAATATGTTTTGTTTTTTTCTTTGCCTACTTTGCAAACGCGATACACATTCCCTGACAAAGTTTCAATTTCAAGTCGCATTTTTCATATGGGCGTCCTTTGGTCCACAAAGACTTCTATTTGGTTTAATTTGCTTTTATATTCAGAAAGAGTGTAAGTAATGTTAATTGTTTTGCACTTATAATACTTCCATAACATATTTTTTTGTAATAATAGGTACCTATAATTTATTTTCATCTCATCTTTCAGTGTAAAATAATGGCTCCACATACGGGTTCGGCTACTACTGAACAAATTGATACACTCCTCAATTTCCTGGACGAGCATAGGGATCTTGCTCGCGGGAGATTGAGGAGTCTAGAAGGAAAAGTCCAGGCGAAGAGGCTGTGGGATGAATTGTGCAATACGCTCAATTCCATGGGCGGTTGCACAAAGACAGTTCAGCAGTGGCAAAAGGTAATTCGTAGTAATATAATTAAATGCTTAAGCTATTTATCAGTGAAAAGTGAGTGACAAAGATTTAATATTTACTTTTATTTTGGATAGGTATGGTTTGATAGAAAACATCTAGCCAAAAAAGCCGCTGCTGATTCCCGGAGGTGGGCTTCAATGACTGGAGGTGGTCCATCGGTGGCACCCCAACTCTCCCATTCGGAATTAAAAGTCTTATCCATAATGGGAGATGGGTTCGGTGACCGCCAAATTGGAGCCAGAGTGCCAGCTTTCACTGAAGTAAGTACCTCATCATTCTTTGGTTTCCCTATTTCTAAACTTTGATATGTTCAAATATTTATCTTAATGATATATGATTTTTATTTACAAAATTATTTTTCTATGTGAGTATGCTACTTTTTTTAACCCATCAGGTAAAAATACAATACAATTTGTATTGTGGTAGACATTAAAAATTAATAATTCACTTAAACATTAAGCATTCAATCTTTTATATTCATTTCAGACGAATGAATCCAGACCATCAACCTACAGTCAAGGAAGCCAACTGCAGCAGCAGAGCCTGGACTTGCATGTAGAAGTTGAGGAGTACGCCGACCCAAGCAAAGAAAGCCAGCAGGTCTACTCTAATTCAACGAAAAACGAAATTTCGATCGAAATTGATACACAAGGTATGTATGGATGTATTTGATACATGAAGGTCTTACCACTAAACTACAGTCGAGACTAAAATTACAAGAAAAATATTGTTTGTCACAAAAAATATACTTATTGATTAAGTATTTACTGCAATGTAACATATTGGAATGTTGTTTTGCAGCCTCACAATCTGCACTTCCCAGAAGAATACGATCCGCTGCTGGCTCCGATGTCAGAAGTAGATTGTACCAGTATGAAGATGGACGTGCAGAGAGAGAGACAGTGAGGAACACCGAGCTCGCAGGCATCAGGGCTGCCTTGGAAGAGTTGCGTGACATAGGGCGAGATTATTTAGAGTTTTTAAGGCAAAATAAGCGTTAGGTTTTAAATAAATTTATTTTAGAATACTATTGTTTCTTTTTACTATTTTTGAGACTATTTGTACTTTCAGATTAAGAAAGCTAAAATAAGAACTTTATTATTAGTGATAGTTGATTATCATGACCATAATTCGATATAATATAAAGATACTGTTAAGTATTTAAAATCATAGAAGTTATTATTTTCTCTGTATGTGACAAAATATCTGCAATGTCATAGGTAAGGATTAAGTAAATATTTGTTGCCATTTTATGAACATCTAGATAGGTAGGATAATGATAAGTAGGTGAAAAAATAAAACAGAACTAATTTTATGCCTAAAAATATTTTAATCTAGGCTGTTACAAGCACTTGTGAATGTCAAAGAAGCTACGCCATCGGTTCTCAAACCCTAAGCGGGAGACCTTGTAACGAGAAGAACCGGCAAGAAACTCGTTAAGGGCTGATTTTTTCTCCTTGTACATTTCATACAGTCATCAAATTTGTAAAATGACCTTTAAGGTAATGTAATTTTCCACCACAAAAATTAACAAAAGTTTACATACAATGGGTAGGTATTGAAATTAATTATCTACACATCCGATAGGTAACAGCAAATAACTTTCAACTAGTTGAGAAATCACCGTCTACTAGGTACCTACTCGAAAATTCATACCCAAATAGATAATGTTGTACAATATGCAATATTAACTAAATTCATTAGACATAAAAGTTAACATTAAAAAAACGCATTGCTTACAATTATAACAAAATAAGAAGTGTATGTTTTAGGTAAGAAGTGAGTGCCATACATTTCAGTAATATTAATTCCTAATCCTATAATATTATAAATGAGAAATTATGGCTTTTGATTGTTACTTAATCATAAATAAACGGCTTAAATGTGGCTGATATGATGATGATGATGATTATCTCCTAAAACAAAAAAAAGTTTGTAATTGAGTTTATTTTAATCTACTTGCACAATTGTTTGGTTTGAGTTTATCTTACCGGTTCCTTTCTAACATTTGTATTAATGAATTCCTTGCCCTTCGACCTGCCTGTAGAGCTTGAGTAGAAGATGCGGCCGTTTCAAAGGGAACCTGCCTGGTTCTCTCCGATTGGTGTTCCTCTTCAGTCAACTCGGGACCTTCAATACCAGCCCTTATACACATGTTGTGTAAAACACAGCAGGCTAATATAATTTTACCTGCTGTTTCTGGGCAGTAATGGAGTTCCCTAGCTGCCAAAAGACATCTCCATCGACCCTTCAATACACCAAATGTGCGTTCTATGGTGCAGCGTGCACGTTTTTGGAGGTAATTGTACCTTCCCTCTGGAGAGTTCTCAACAGCATTATGTACAGGTGTCATCATATGCTCCCTTAGAGCATAACCAGAATCACCTAAAAATTTAAAAATGTAATATTAGTGTAAATTGCATCATCACATTACTTATACATAATGAATATCAAAACTATAAATCAAGACATGCCTAATAGATAAACTGTTTCATCCTGGAGACCCTGCTTTGTGGCATTCCTTGGGGGAGGCTTTATTACAAAATGAAATACAAGTTTTATTACAAAAAATGATAAAATACAACTCAAGCCGCGAAATAAATTTGCGACGTTTATAGACCTAATGTAGTGTCAGTAAAAGGAACATAAAGTTGGTTCAACCGTTTTCAGTCCGCGAATTTTGATATCAAAGATGCAGCTCGCTCTGGTCGCCCTCATACGTAAAAAGTCGTTGTCATTTTTGAAAAAGTGGAGCACGATATGTGTTACATGTCAGCAGTAACAATGTAGCGGAGGAATTGTGGATTGATCATAAACAGTTTTGACCCATGTGAAAAAGCCTGGCTATAAAAAAAAGCTCGATATTTGGGTACCACATAAGCTCACTGAAAACTAAAAACCTAATAAATCATGTACTCATTTGCAATTCTCTATTGAAACGTATATGAATCCGAATCATTTTTGATAAGATTGATCACTGGTGATGAAAAGTGAATTATATATATTACCTACGACAAGAACGTGCGGAAAAATCGTGGTCAAAGGGTAGTGTCCGCTCCAGTCAAGTCCAGTCCAGTCAAGCTCCACGCACTGTAGCGGAACCCGGATTAACACGAGTTAAGGTGATGCTGTGTTTATGGTGGAATTGGAAGAACGTCGTTTATTATGAGCTTTTACCGTCGGACAAAACCATTGAATCGGATTTCTACTGTCAACGACTAATGAGACTCGAGCAAGATATTGAGAAAAAAGAAAAGGAATTGATCAAAAGAAAAGGAGTGTTCTTTCATCATGATAACGTCAGATCTCTTCAGACACATATTTGGCCAATCAACAAAAGTTGAGAGTGCTTGATTGGGAAGTGTTAATGCATCTACCATATATTCCAGACTTTGCACCCTCAGATTTTCATCTGTTTTGGTCTCTTTAAAATTCTTTGGGTAGTGCTAGGTTAACTTCAAGAAAGGACTGCCAAGAGAGGACTACCTGTCGCATTTTTTTTGATCAAATATCCTAAGATTTCTACAACAACGGGATGGTGTCACTACCCACAAGATGACAACAACCTATCTAACAAAATGGCAGATATAAATTTTAATTAAATGTTATAAAACTTTGAAAAAAAAAATGTCTTGAATTTGTATATCAAATACGAAGAAACTTTTCTCTCCTTTTTATGTTCTGCTGCGGCATAGCTCTGCCACTTATAGCATATAATAAGCTAATATTCCATGATGTGATTTTATACGTGGTAGAGCCATGCTGCAGTTATATTAGTAGTATAGTTGTAGCACGAATGGGCCGGCTCGACTGGGCAAGGACCACGCTCTCACAGAATACCAGCGTAAAATACATAGTAGCTTAATGCTGCTGTGTTTCCGACGGTGAGTGTAGAGAACCGGAGACCCTATTTACTGGATACGAGGCATTTCATCTTATTCTCTTTCATTTTGATTTGTAATCGAGGATAGATGTAGATGTTTATGGGCCGTAGCAACCACTTACCATCAGGTGGACTGTGTGCTCGTTTGTCACCCTATCCTATAAAAGAATGATGAATGATAAGTGGTTACTGTAGTCCATAGGCAACTGTAACGAACTTGAAACAAAGATGGCCATAAAACATCCATCCATCCATCTTCCTGAAAACAACTGAAAAATAAAGTAAACTGTGGTTTAATTTATTTTTCAGTCAGGCCAACCCGATGCGTGACAACTAGGGCCAAAACCCTCCGATGTGGCGATATGAGCGAGAGGAACGTGTTCTGCAGAAGACTTTCGATAACCAGTAATCACGATGATCATTATAATAAGTAAAATATTATTCATCATCACCATTACATCCAAAGACCCAAACGAATGCCACAAAGCACGCTCCTGAGCCACCTGCATTCATCAACTTTCTGCAGCTCTTACCAGGTCATCACTTAAGTAAGTCGCCATACTTTTTCCTCTTTGAGTAATTAAAATATTATAATAGATAATGAAAAAGTCTTGAAAGTACGAAAACAGTAAAAAAGACACGACAACCTTATTTATTTGAATAGATTCTTTGTCCCTTGACAGCGCAATAGACATATTTTTTTCAATTTATAGACCGTCTTCTAAGTTCACTTTAGATTTCGAATACTCATGTAAGGTACCTTTTTGTCTTTATAGATAAGATAATTATAAGGATAGAATTCTCAATTGCCCTAAAAGGAAAATTGTTTTAAGTTAATTTATGAAACGTTATAAGATATTTTATATATCTGCGACATAATTCCATTTCTTTTATTTGCTAATTTAACAAAAGAAGATGAAAGGATATTTATTCAATTTTTTCGTTGCTTGTTCAATTTAGTTGTTCATTCCCGGTCTAGGTTTTGAATTACTGCTTAAGTCCACATTTGTGCAAAATTACAAATTATTTATTTTCAGAAATCTTTAGAGGCCTTTCCTGATTGCCCCTTACGGGGACATTTACCAAGCTAGTTACGGCAAGCGGGTAGGTAACCGCAGTTTTTTTTTATTATTTTGACTTGTGATCAGCAAGATGCTGCTACCAATCTCCTATTTAAATTCCCTCTGCCACCAGTTACAACCCCCACGGGCTTAACTCTAGCGATAGCGGATTCTCTTACGCTACACGACTATCAATATTACGTCATAAATACAGTAAGTTTAAAATATTTGTAAGGAAATCCATTTAAGAAGCAAGATCATGTAATTTCATTGTAATTTATGTGCATATGTTTGCAATAACCTCAGGATGAGCCGTGTGTTTGTGCAATCGGTAGGCGACTATACACGGCGCCATCTTGCTCTGGAAACTAGTGATGGGCGTTGAATCAACGAACGGTTTAAATAGACGGTCTACGTTCAATCGACGCTTCGACGGTCTACAGTTCATTCGCTAACTAGTCGAATTCATAGACGGCTAAGCTGAGAGTCCACAGCGTTCTTATCTACTGACAACGCGACGTCGACGCCGTAAACATACCCTGTTAATATAAGTACATGTGTTCGTTGAATTAGTATCATTGATCAAACCAATTTCAACATTAAGTATATGACGTAGGAATTAATATTTCTTTTTTAATTGAATTGTTTGAGTGAAAAGACAATAGCATTCTGATATTGCGCGAAAGATTACGTCGACGGACTGGTGGACTATTGTAAATTACCTAAACGTTGCCGTTGTTTAGAAATTTGAAATTAGTGTGTCGACTGTCGACTCGCGTCGCAAGGTCAAAGCTACAGGATACAGGAGTCGTGCGTGACTCGCGAGTGCTAATTTAGTGAAAAGTTCGTTTGAATGTTTATGAGTTGAATTTGTACATATTTAAATGATTTTAGATATTGTAAGTAATTAATTGTAAATATAGAATAGAGACATAGTGTATAATAGTGTAGTGAATAACAGTTTGGTGTAGTTTAGTGTAGAATTATTCAACAATAAATTTTGTTGTTTTTTAAAATGGCGGGACGTAGTACTAGTGAATTATGGCATCAGTTTCAAAAGGAAGATTCAAGTGGGAAAGCTACTTGCAACTTATGTAAGGAAAAACTTGCTTATAAATCTACGACTGCGAATCTAAAAAGCCACCTAAAAAGAAAGCATGTGTCCATATTTACATCGTTGTTATCGCAATCAAATGCCCAGACTCAGCAACAGCCACGTCCTTTCCCTGTATCGCATGTGGATAATGTAGATATTAAGGATCCTAGCTTACCTGGCTCGAGCGGGTCTATCCAGAAAAGGCAAAAAAAAATTGGACTCATTTTTACATAAAAAAATAAATAGCGAACAAAAAAAGCAGATTCACTTAGACTTGCTAGATTTGTGTACAGATAGTTTCCATCCATTTTCAATAGTGGAAGAGAGAGCGTTTAAAAAATTCTGCCGTTGGATACCTGGATACCAGCTACCCACAAGGAAGACGCTGTCGAAGTCAATTATGCAAGAAGCATACGTTAAACTATATGACGCAACACAGACTCAGATCAACTTAGGCAGGAGGTTCAGAGCATATGCCTAACTGCAGATGTGTGGACCTCTTTAAAAACTGAGAGCTTTATTGCCCTTACTGGGCATTATTTAACAGAAGAGCTGGTGTTCAAAACTGTATTGTTGGGATGCTGTCAGTTTCCAGGCCACCATACAGCCGATAATATCGCTGCAGAGATAACTGCATTAGTGGATAAAATGTGCATAAAACATAAAGTAAACTTTATGATAACGGATAATGCCGCTAACATAGTGAAAGCTGTTAAAGAGGTGTTGGGATGGAAGCATTTTGGATGCTATGCGCATAGCTTAAATCTCATAGTCGAACACGCGCTTCAGTTAACAAAATCTTATATCGACAAAGTTAAACGCATAGTTGCGCATGTTAAAAAAAGCACACTATCCTCAGAGAGATTACAAAAATATCAGATTCAGCAAGGTCAAGAACCTAAGCAGTTGATCCAAGCTGTGGATACCAGATGGAACTCCACCTTTTTATGCTTAAAAGATTTGTGGAGCTTGAAGATGCCATCCGAGCAACTTTAGCTTTTGCAGACAGGAATTTGCCAACAATTAGCCCTGAAGATTGGACTCTTTTTAAAGCAGCTATGCCAGGTTTTGCAACCGTTTGAAGAAGTGACTGCATCAATGAGCGGAGAAAAGTATGTTACTGGAAGTTCAGTAATAATAGTGACACGATGCCTAAAAGAAGCTTGTCAAAGGCTCATAAATCGAGATGATATATTATCAGACGCGCTCAATATAGTGCTTTTGCTGAAATCGGGGTTAGAAGAACGATTTCGACTTATCGAAACGAGTGGCACATTTGCATTGTGTACTTTCATGGATCCCCGTTTTAAAATGCAAGGATTTTCGGACCAATCCGAGGCAACAAAAACCAAAGAAAGGGTCAGAAAATTAGTAGCCGCATTAATTGCCGAGAAAGAACGCAACACAGTACCTATTGCTTCCACAGTCACTGAAAGTACCGCTAACCCCGACAACAACAGTGACGACCTCAGCTCTTTGAGCCCTTGGAACATTTTTGACAAAATGGTGGCATCGAGTACTTCGCAAGGTACACCTATTTCAAAAGCCATAAAAGAGGTAGACATGTACCTTTCCGATGAAATTCTTCCAAGAAAGGACCAGATGGGACATTTGGCGTGCCCCCTTGAATGGTGGAGAAAACACCAATACGTCTACCCAAATTTAAAAAAAATATTTACAAATCATTGTAATATTGTAGCAACATCTGTTCCTTGCGAACGGATGTTTTCTAAAGCAGGTCTTATACTTAATGAAAGGCGAACAAGACTAACGACGAGTAAAGTCGAGCAAATTATGTTCTTAAACGTTAATACACCTGAGGAGAGATTTAAAGGGTTTTAAATTCATTTATAAAATAATTTACATTTACATGATTCTTCTATACATACATTAATAAAAACGAAAACAAAAAAAGCAAATAAAAATATTCACACCTATCCGTAAAAATATGTAAATAAAAAATGTAAATAATTAAATATGTACATAAAAGCTTCTAAATACGCCTGAAATACGATAGTAAAATCTTTTCAAAACGTATTCAGACAGTCCTAAGCCTGGAAAAGTATGAAGGGAAGCTTAAATCAATTGATTGTACAATTCGATAGTAGGTATTTATACACTAGTCAGAACTCAGAGTGCTTTTTGTGAACAAAACTAGTTAAAGACACCGTGGTCGTTGCGTTGCGCCCACAGACACCGCGCTTTAGTCGATTGAACGTAGGCCGTTATCGCGTTAACTAGTCGACGAATTCAACTAGTTGATCACCTAGTCGATGGATAGAAATAGACGGTCTAGTTTCGTTGACGAAAATTACGTCGACGACCCACCTCTACTGGAAACCCATTGAGCGGCGTCTTGCGTCTGTCAACATTCCGGCGTGGAGCACATTAAATGCATCTGCTCGCTATTCCTATTCAAACTAAGCTTTGGAGCGTCCAGAAACCATTATTTAAACGAGAATCAGACTTTAGTTTTCGTTAGAAATCGAATCTTTGCATAGAAATCAAACACTGCAATTTACGAAAACACACTGTGACATTCACTGTTCAATTGAATTAATAATCTAAGCAAGACACGTAATAAAGTAACGTCGTAGGAGAATCTATTGCCACATTTGCTTCCGTGGTAGCTGGAATTTTATAAAAATATTTAACTGAGCAAGACACGCGTTTAGCCATGTGATGACTTCGTGAGAGTATCCATTGCCCCGTATCGTCCCGTGGATCTCATAAAAAGTGACTATGAGAAATATCAGAAAAATCTAATGGCTTCCGATAGATGGTGATATAACTATCTGGTTTTTGTCAAACGTATAATACCCAGACTGGTGGTCTGCACCATTAAGCATGCGAGACGTCTGGCAAGAGAAAAGTGTTAATTCCGATGGTGAACTGTTACGAGAATTATGGATAGAAAAAGTTAGAACAGCACCCCTATCCAATTTGCTTCGTCGTTTATAATGATAACAGCAAAGGAGTGGGATAATTTGCCATCGTCTGGCTTTTCATCCGATTACAATAACGTGGTCATCTTCAAGGCAAGAGTGTAAATGCTTTTGCTAAGCTAAGGATGGACGCTTACCATCTTGGACTAACTACATCACCACTTACCATCAGGAGGGATGGTAGTTAAGTACAGCCTTATAGTTACATAATGAAAGACTGAATAATTAATTTCTCGTCGTGAATATTTTTAAAGTAACGCTAACAAAACGATGGCAGTTAGATGCTGTGGCCTATCTTAGATTGAAAATCAAAATGCAGATGCGTTGTTACCCCTGATGATTAAAAAAAAAGATTTCCGGTTCCCTACATTCACCATACCTAGCTCAGCATCATAATGATGCTATTTCACGCTGGCATTTTGTATGATTAATTTTTATTAAAAACTCAAATTTAACCTTTTTACAAATATGTTATCCTGCACCATATGCATAATTTATATACAGTGAGCTTAAAATGTACATAATATATTATGCAAATTTTATAACAACAGGATTTTCATAAAAATTTTAAACATCCTAACTAAAACGATTCGATGCTAATTCAACGCTTTTGGATGAATTTACAGAACATTAATCCTTGCAATCATTCTGCTTTTGAGTCTATGGACGATATTAGACGACGGCAAGGATGGCGCGACCAACTTCGAAAAGCTTCTCAACGCGTTTTCCCTTAAAATGTTTGACTTGTCTGACGCGCCGACGAGGGTGAAGGGGGTGAACGATTTTAGAGGACTGAATGCGTTTGCTTTGCTCCTAGCTCATAAGTCCATAGCAATGGCGCATAGCCCTTTCGCAAACAAGATCAGCTTTTCAGTAGTGAGTATTTCGGGCGTAGTACTTAATTAGTTTTAAAAAACAGACCAAACACTTAAAGTATTATAATCGTTCTCTAGAGCTTTGCGTTCATATCCGTTTCTACTACCCGTGTCTTGTCCTTCCCTAGTTTGAGCTACTTTTACGGTACGAAAATATTTTTTTAAACTTGCTCGGATTCCGTGAATTGAGCTGCTTGTGACCCTCTACTTTTATGGCCCTGTCATCTACCCCATAGAAAATACAATCTACCGCTTGCCTACACTGTACTACTACTGTTCTACATCTTTTTAATAAATTTATTTTTGCATAATAATAGTTTTCCAACGACTCACCATATTTGACATGTTTGCCTAGCATTTCCGTCAAAAGTTCAGAATAGTCTTCACGGTAAGGAAACGATTCGAATAACCTTTTTTTTCATTCACCCCATGTGAGCAACAGCGATGGTAGGTCTTGGTACCAGGTCGTAGCGACCCCTACAAGTTTCGCTAAAGCATAATGTATTATTTCGCTCTCTTCCCACCCATAAATCTCCGCGCACTCTTCTACTTTATTGATCCATACCAGCACTGTTTGCTCCTTGCTCATGGGGTCGAATTCTGGTATAACATTAGCGTTAAACGATTATTTAGGCTTTTCTGAACTTTTAACGTTATTTAAAATTATCAAAACCTTATTAAGAATAAGGTTAGTATCACATTTTCTTACTACTATTATTAAGAATAACTGACTCACAACTGGAACTGCAACTCCGGTACATTCATTCTCCTTGATTTGTGCTTTTCATTCCGATCGTATCCCCTTTGTTTATTTTTCCTTTAGTGTTGTTTTATTCCTTCTTCTCAAATCCTCTTATTCATATTTGTGTAGAGTGTTCTTTCGCTCTCTAACCTGGGCTCTCCTTCACCCTCAAACCTGGGCGATACCTTTGCTCTCTAACCTGAGCATCCCTTGGCACTCTAACCTGGCCTCACCTTCACCCTCAAACCTGGGTGACCCGCTGCTCTCTAACCTGAGCATCCCTAGGCACTCAAACCTGGCCTCACCTTCACCCTTAAACCTGGGTGATTCCCTGCTCTCTAACCTGAGCATCCCCTGGCCATCTAACCTGGCCTCACCTTCACCCTCAAACCTGGGTGACCCTCTGCTCTCTAACTCGAGAATCCCTTGGCACTCTAACCTGGCCTCACCTTCACCCTCAAACCTAGGTGATTTAACTTCATTGGTCAGCGGGCCTTTCCCTCGACCGAGTCCAATGTCATCCATTGTATTCGTATCTAAAACTTCCAATAGAGTAGCTTGGAATATAATATTTGGTATCAATTCATCGTCAGATTAATTCATTATCATAAGTTATTAGTTCGTACACATATTATCAAAATTTTCAATGGTTGAATTCGAGTTGCACAAGATTTCTTAAAATTCTTACAGGAAAAGCACAAAGAGGAAAAACAAGTTTATTAATACTTTTGAAAAAAAATATGGAAAAATAATGACAATTCAACTTCTTTCTTTTCCACGCTATATTTTTGCAACTACACATTGGTTTTATCTACGTACGAAATTATAAGGATAGTTTTAAGTACCAACATCATTTCTTAATCATAAACTAATACCCTTATCATAAGAAAAAAATGGCGGAAGGAAAATTAAATAATAACTAGTTTTTATTTTTGCTTTTCCTTGAAGATGAAAATAATTCTACATTGTATTCTGTATTACGAAAGTGAATGGCACAAAAAAGCGATAATTAGTTAATGACAGATTATGAATTATTTAAATTTACGATATTCGATTTCGACGACGATATACGATTCGATATTTTATAAAAAATAATAATAATAAAGTGTGGGTAGATAAATAATAAACAACTTCAATATAAAAAACCAGGGTCCCTAATATCTTTATTTACATAAAGGTAATATTATCTAATTTGTTTTATTTTTAAATTAATGACAACGACTTAATATATTTTTTAAATTAAATAAAAATGAGCAACAAAAGTTGGCCTTTGTGGACGTGAAAGAAAATTATAAAAATTCTCTAACGATCCCACTTCTGAACTGTTGTCATCAGCTCAAACACGGGGATTCGTAAAAGAAAGAACAAATATTCCACATAATCACATTTTATATTTCCACAAAATAAAACAACATCACATACATAATATCATAGCAAACAAGTTCACACGTACTTACAGTTTCAGTCTTCCAATAATTAAATATCAACCAATTCTGCGCTTTATTGCTTATGACTTACTTCGTCTGAACCTCGAACCAGAATGACTTTCTCCTTTTTCGTATTAGCTTCCTTCCCTTCAATACCCTCCACTTGTTTAGTATGCATTCGAATGAACGATCGAATCTATGGTTGAATGATTTAATTACTTTGGGTTGCCATTGTACAGTATGTTGTTGCCATTGTACATAAATGAGCAGTATAAAATACAGACTTATTTAGGGTTACCAGAAAGAAGCTAACTATAGGTACATAATATATAGTGATGAATGATGAATAATTTTTTGTTTATTATTTGGAGGCACCTACTGAGAGTGTATTTTTACTATATTTATTTATTTATTTATTAAGGACAGCCAACAAATCTTACACCAAAAACATTAAATTCTTAAGCTATTAACCCTTAAAGTCGCACGATACTTTTAGCAAATGAAAACAACTAAAAATAGTTTTAATGGTTTATTAGGCGTTTAAAAAGAAGTTAAAAAAATACCAAAAAAATATAGAGTTTTTATTTTTTGGAAAAACCTATGTATAATATACTATACATTGCAACACTCGATGAAAATAATCTGCGATTATGAACGTATAGCATACTATATATTATACTTTATTACTGCTTCGTGTGGGTACGCCAAGAAACAGTTCCTACCCTTAACATAGCATAAATGTACATTGCATTTTGTGCACATTGCGCTCGCTTGACCTCCTCTACAATATTTACAGCGTTGATAACCGGTTAACTGGGGCCAATGATCAAATTTGTCATACCGCATATTGTCAAGAGGCCTCTCGGCCATCGGTTTCTTAATCTTACTATTTTCAGGTACAGATAAAATGTTTTACGGGTACAATACTATTACGTTTCAGAAGTCCAGCATAAAAATCGTAACGAAAGTCTTTTATGCGATCTTGCTTCCTCTTTTTATTTATATGGTTGTCGTGTCTACGAAGTAACAGCCATGCTTTGTTTATGAAAATGTCCAACAACTGAGAAAAAGTGTTCATATATCACCTGTGAGACTTTATACCAGTGCGATATAATGCTATTAACATATCCGCCAAATCCACACCTCCCATATGGCGGTTATAATGCTTGACGATTTAAGGACACTGTATGTCTACGCGTCCTTTCGAGTCCTTGCTGAAACGTTTGATATTCTCAAGAGGAAAAGCGTCAACATAGAAACTTACAAGCCTACATGCTTAATGCTTTATATATTATTATATATGCCTTACATGCTTATTATCGAACCACTTCACCACACTCAATTTATTGTCGTTGCACACCACTTGAGTAAAAGCCCCTCATCAATCATTTTAGATTCTGCATCTTTCAACCTATTTTTCCTTACAGTCCCCAAACTATATATACCGTAATTTCCACGTAAAATATATACTAATTCTAAAGATGTAAAATAGTTATCAAAATATACGACACTACTACATGCCTGTTTATTTATAGTTTTGCATAAAACCAAAATTATTTTCTCTCCAACACCCAAAGACTCTTCTTCATTTGTAAATTGCACACCTGTAACCGTATTATCGCTAGCATAAAGTAGAAAGTCGTACCGGACACACCGGCTCTAACCAGATTTTTAAAACCCCACTTACTTGGGTTATACTGGCGACGGCTGCTGGATTTTTTTACCTTTGTAGGGTACGACCATCTCATCAGTGCTGAAAACATTTTGCTTCCTCGACGGATAAACATTGTAACCGACTGCATTCAATTAGGGGTCATAGTTTATAATACCTATCCCAGTACGTTTTCTTTGCCCACGTGTAACTAAAGATGTGACTTGAAACTTGAAAAGTCTCTGGATCCACATTAGAAAGGTCTTCTACACGTGATTCCACCTCTTGCTTCGAAGGACTGGGCGATGAATTGGCGCTGCCGAGAATGTCGATCTTTTCAAATGATGAATCCAGAGACGGTGCTGGTGAACTCTCGACATCTCTGACTTCATCATCACTACTGGATCCAACATCAGAACTAGCATTTCGTACTGAAATCAAAGACAATATGCGTCTCGCTCTTCCGTTCATTATAGTCTAAAACAAAACGAAACATACATGCAGCTCAACCATCACCCAAATAAAAGCCAAAAAGTTATTTATGCACTTTGCAGAACTCGTATCATACCAAATCAATTAAAATTTGTTAGTACCATGTTACTAGCAATGTATAGTATTCTATACAAATAAATATAATGGCAAATATATAGTAGTGATTGTACCACTGTATGGTATACCATACACGGATGTTAACAAGTTATACTTATCCAAATATGACAACTTCCAGGCCATTTAAGTTACACAATGGTTGGAATAACTCTTCACCTTTTCGATTTATGCATTACAAACCTGTAATAAGTAATAAAATCACGAAAATAAGTAAAACTCACCTTGGCAATTATTTCGGGCCGCGGTTTATTCGTTATTTTTCACAACTGATTCAAATTTATCACAAATTAGCTATTTAGTGTAATATTGACGTAAAAAGAAACGTACAGACATATGTCTTGTAATGAAATAATGTAAATAAAACGTGTAGAAACTTAGTAATATTTTTTAAAGTCAGACGTATACCCTGCTATACAAAGTCACTTTAAGGGTTAACTAAGATTTAAGCTAAGTGCAGATTCAATTACAGGCTGCCACGACATGCATTGCATGATTGACATACATATCGATATAATTATAGTGTATATTTTTATTTTATTACTATTTTGATTAAAGTTCTGATTTATAAATGATTGAACAATTAATTAGCGTGTTATTATTGTTATGTTTAACTCTTAAATAATTACTTATGAAAATAAAGTGTGAAATTATGCATGATTTAAGTTATTAATTATTATATAATATTGTTTTAATTATATAATATTATTATTTTAAATTTATAATATTGATTTTATTTATTGATTTTTTATTTTCGTATTCAATTTAATCCACTACATTTGTATACTTGTGTCTATCTTTTATGAAATGTGTGTAATACCTGTAATTAAGTCAACACTTAGTATTTATAGTTTCTTGTAAAAATATTCTGGTTTTGTTAGTTTATGTCTTGTTGGTATTAAATAAATAAAAATAAAAAATTAATTTATGCTTGTCTTTGTATCGCTATCTTTGCATGTTGTGTCCCGTTACTACTGTCAAATTTTGACTACGCATCTGCATTTTTATTCGTAATCGAGGATAGATGTAGATGGACTGTGTGCTCGTTTGTTACCCTATCTTATAAAAAAGAAAGTCATGGGTGTTGGGACATCAATAAAATTTTCTAAAAATAATATTAGTTATTCACCTAACTTACACGTAACTCGTTAATATATAATAAGGTGCGGTACGGTGTACTGGAATGGTACACCGATTGATCGGATATGTCAGGTGTAATTCGTTTATTACAAAAATAAAAATTAGAATGGTATTTATAACATAGTTACGTTCATAGTTTATGTTAGTAAGGTAAAAAAAATCAACTACCGAAATAAAACCTAATACTAAATCTAAAGTGCATATATTTAAGTCACATTATAAGTAGTTCTAACGTTCCAAGTAGTTATCCAAAGTGACAAAGCCATGATAATTTTTCACTGTGACTTTTTTGAAACTGTAACGATGGTCACGGTTATTTAAAAATAACACTTTTCTCCAAGTATAATCGCCTCTTACGACATTCACGGGATGATATGGATATTCAACACGCTAATGGATAATTGCTCAAACAAATTTATTTCGACCATAGGTGTGAATAAGTTGGTCCAATACACTGTCACACACACAGAGACACACACACACACACAACACACACACAGACACACACACACACACACACACAGACACACACACACACACACACACACACACACACACACACACAAGACACACAGACACACAGACACACAGAAACAGACACACAGACACACAGACACACAGACACACAGACACAGACACAGACACAGACACAGACACAGACACAGACACACACACACACACACACACACACACACACACACACACACACACACACACACACACACACACACACAGACACACACACACACACACACACACACACACAGACAACAGACAACAACAAAACAACAAAACAACAACAAC